CAACATTGCTAGTACTAGAGAAAGAAACCTGATTCGATTTTTGATCAAGTAAGACCTTGAGATCATGTTGAACAAATCATCATCAGGGGAAATACAAAAAGGAATAAACAGAACGCCAAATCATAGATTAGGCCTACTTTACTATTTCCCTTGAATTTATTACTGGATCCCTTGTAACGAGAATCCTGCTATAACGGACATTTCGCACCGGTCCCCTCCCTCTCGTTATAACAAGATTCCACTGTAGTGTAGTAGATAGGCTAGTGGGAAAACTTGGATCAAATTTTTAGCTTGCTCCAAATTGGTGCTGCGAAGAGCAGTTTCATGTACCTTTCTTCTTGAGCGGGAAGAACAATGCCTAGATTTCTCTACAGTGACAAAAATAACTTTGGTGCAAAGATTTTGCTTGCTCCCAGCAGACACTACCGCAAGCGATACGACGAGCATAAACCATCCTCGCCGCCTGTCTCTTCACTAGCGCAGCAAGCGGATGACGGATCACAACGATGCAGTAGGCCATGTAGATGTAGATCTAGAGCTAGAGCACTGACTGGTTTAGAACAATTAGAAAAGGAGGGGGGGTGAAGGCCAGTGTTAGGTGGAGCGCTTGCACCAATTGCATTGGCGCCCCGCCACTGCAGTCAGTTCATTCATCCAGTGCCAGATCTGCGACAGACATCCTCGATCTTGGTTCTCCATTCATTCCTTTGCTCGGATGCTCTTTAAAAAAAGCTATGTTTTCCTGATCTTTCTCCGTTACCTATTTTTTAGGTTCACTAAGTTGGTTGCTCTGGGCCTATCCCTGCCTGGCTTGCCTTCAATTTTGCCAGTGAGAGCTAGACGTTCAAGACCTTTATGTCTATTCAGGTATTCAAAAAAATGCATTTATTGTTGTTTCCTGGTTGTTTTTAACGTTGAGCGTCCCACGTGGGCTTCATCAAGCACTACCTCATTTGATTTCTTTTCCATCCGCCATATTCTCAGCGGTCTCCTAAGAAACCACATTTCTGTTGCTTCTATTTTATTTTCACTGTCTTTAGTGATTGTCCTGCATTCAAAGCCATATATAGAAGGGTTGACCATACATAGCATTTCAGAACTTTCATTTTGGTAGTCATTGAGATGTTTCTTTTTCTTCAGGATTGAGCTCATTTGATTGAAACTAGCCTTAGCCATTGCAATTCTCCGTTTTATTTCTGTGGAATATTTGGCATCGGAAATAAAACGGTCAGTTAGTGCAAGGAAATACAAGACAGACAAACGGAAACAACGGAAGGAAAGAATGAAAACAAGTAGAAGTAGGCTAACTACCCTCCCACTAGGAGGTGTACGTAATGAGCATCCAATAAGCCAACGATCTCATTTGAACGTCTCTGGACCACGTACAGAGTCGGCCTATTAAATCCACATTCTGTCATCAACCGTATTCTTCTCACGTGAACATCTTGTATGCTCCAGTAGACACAACAAACAAGTCATTAATTAATACTAAGAATAACAATAATGGGTTCCTAACAATAACAATACAAGATCACAGGACGCGTCTTCATTCACCACAGACACGCACGACACAGTACTGTATCCATTAAACCTCTCGTAATTACTATAACTTGATGACGAGATGATGCACTGGTGGGAAATGAAACATAAAATCTTACGGCCAAAGGATGCCGCGGCACTCACCATTACTGCAATTAGACACTCGTGATTGTAATAGTCATAGTCATTGCCCTAGTCGTAGGTGGAAAAGGGTCCATAAATAATAGTATAGACGTAACAGTACATTTGTAACAGGATTTTGGGTGACACCAAGGAGATTAAAAGTAATGGAGGATGCTCTGTAGGCGGCACCGCACGCCTGATAGGAGCCCTCTCTCGCGGCGGAACTGTGGTCTACCTGCGCTGCGCTTACGCACTGAAATCTAGATAAGAAAGAAGGTTTTATTCCGAGGTCCTTGAGATTAAGCAAGTCAATTAGTAAAAATGCCTTGCACCTGTGTTGTATTTAAGTGTAAGAACCGATATGATGCTGCAGTGGACCGAAGTTTTCACAGTAAAGTCGTTTTCCTTTTTAAAAAAAATTGAATAAAAGTGTTTTTATGCCCCCAGCAACACAATTTAGATCTAGATCATTAACATTCATAAGAGGCTGGCTCCGGCGCTACCTGCCAAGGCCAACCCAGGCTGAAAGGGAAACAACACCCCAGCAGAAAGACCGAGATACTCATTTTTTTAAAAAGTATTCTTATTCTTATTCTTTTACTTATATAATTAGTTTGTGTATATATATATATATGTGTGTGTGTGTATATATATATATATATATATATATATATATATATATATATATATATATATATATATATATATATATATAATTATTATGTGTGTGTGTGTGTGTGTGTGTGTATACACATTATACATTTTAATTAAAGATATTGCTTTCCATTGTGTGTGCAAATTGGATGCTACTGTTGTCTAAATGTAGATATCTAGAGGCTCCATTAGAATATGAAATCAATACTCAACAACAATAATGATGAATATTTTCTATGTTAAAGAAACACCAAACCATATCAGATGAGGGGAGAGGGTAGGGTGGGGTGGATAAGAGTTTGAGTCTTGTTATATAGAACTATACTCGGTTTAATGCTATTGTTGTAGTCTTCACCTAAGATCCCACAATCAATAGTTCACTTAAGATTCTGCTGTTAACAAATAAACCAAACGAAGTAACAACAAATTTTACTACACAAGAGTCATCACTAAGATAAATTATCCCCCTCTGAAGTGTAATAAGGGACTAAAAACGCTGCTCTCCATTTCATACTTTACTGAACACAAAAAAAAAACCTTCAAAGGTCATCCACGCTCATGCATTAGATTACACTGTTATCTCTTTTTTATATTTGAAATCATTGTGCTTTGTGAAAACCAAGAAACAAAATTATTGTAATAAATAATATTATTCTTTATAGACCAAGACATACTGACTGTTAGCAATCAGATAAAGCTGGCATCAACCCTCTGTTGTGTTCGCTATTCCTTATACATAAAGTTAGTTATGGCGCACGCCTAGAATCATGCAATCATATCTTAAATTCAGTTTAAAAGTATACTTTTATCCTTTTCTTATAATTAAATATTTTAGCATCTTGAAAGGGTATGTTTGATAATTTTGTTACTCGGACAAGTTTTTTTCTTATTTTGCACATCTTTTTTATTTTTTAACTAGATTATAATATAAAACTCTTAAAGAATTGAACAGTCCGTATCACACACAGAATTTATTATTTTTTTCTCCCAGTCATTATCCATCAGCCCGTCACTTGATCACAATCTCTCTCTCTCTCTCTCTCTCTCTCTCTCTCTCTCTATATATATATATATATATATATATATATCTCTTATTTAATTTTTCCCATTCTCCTTCGTCCCTTCCCAAGGCCCGCCCCTCTACTTTCATCCCAGCCCCATCCCCTCATCCTTGCATGAATTACCCCACCCCGCCCACCCCCACAACGTGGCCCAGCCCGATAAGATTCTATAAAAAGAAACGCCACAGTTCGTGATTTAGCCCACAGTCGGCAGCCATATTTGATCCCCATCGCGGCGTACTGCTCGTGGCGCCGCGAAGAGAGAGAGGAGGCTCCATTAGTTCTAAACTCCTTGGGTGACACCAACGTTTGTAGTTTTAGTAAGCGTTTTACGGCACTTGCAACACAATTAGATCATATGTAAGAAATAACTAAATATAAATGCCGAAGATTACAGGTGTTAAAACAGGGTAACAAATTATAAGCTTTACAAAAAGGAGGAGAGATCGGGGCGATAGTTGTTTGATAGGAAAGGAGCAAACCACACTAGAGCACCCGCCAGCCACTCACAGTGACACGAATGATAATATCTTCTCGGAATCTGTGGATGATCATTTGGGGTTGATTCAGTCAAACGCTCGACCTGACAAACTTTCGACTGACTTTCCTATGAGTACATTGTATGACGCTGCATCCAATTGGACCGGTGTTGCGTCAGAACGTTGCTGAAATTATGATGCACAGTGTGGGTGACAGACATCCACCCTTGTCAGACACTGTCACTGACTTGTGAAAGGTTAGTTTATTTTTGTGAAATATCTGTTTGTTTGTTTGTTTGTTTGAGTAAAGAGAATCACATCGACCATATAATGGACATTCAGTGCTGAGAAAGAGTGAAAGAGACAGAGAGACAGACAACAGAGGGAAAGAAAAGAAGTAGGACCGACCAGTGGCGCCCTCTAACCACACGCTTGTGAAATGTTAAGTGGTACACTGGTACGTTTAACACCCCTGTCAAAATTATTAGTAGGCCTAAATTAAGTAAGCCTAGTAATAATACATTGTTTATTTTAAGAGACGGAACATCTGAGTTTAACGTCCAACCGAGTCAAATAGAATTCCTGTGATGTGCCTTTCCCAAGGACACAACGTCGGACCGAGCCGAGGCTCGAACACCCACCCACATTCTCACGATTATGAACCCGGCAGATAATAATCCAGTGGGCTACCAACAACGCCATTATCAGACACTCATTAGATATATAATATGCTATACTGTATATTTTAGACATTTTTTAAAAGAAAAAAAAGGAAGTTAATGGGTAGGGCCTACATGTAATCAAGTATCATAATCATATAGTAAAAAGGCTTTTCCTACATATTAGATTACTATTATAGTATTATTATTAGGTTATTCAAGAGGCCGGACCTCCGATCTGTGGGGGCTGTTCACTCTGAAAGCGACCTCGTTGAATCCGAGCTCGCTAATTTACATGTTCATTGAATCCGGGTTATTTTTATTAATTTTAAAGAAGAAGAAAAAAAACGGGAATTCATCTCCTCTCGTTAAATCCGAGCTCATTGAATCCGAGTTCCACTGTACAAGTGTTGGTAAATGCAAAAGCAACACCCATAACATTAACTACAAATGACAAGACAAACAATAAAAACCAAAATAAAAAATGAAAGACCAACAGACAAATTTTATTCAGCTTTGGTCCACCTTGTCAAGTGCATTACAACATTCTTAATCCAATTTACATGGACAACGATGGTTCATAAGCTTATTTTACTGTCACAAGAAGCTACAATTACTCTTGATCATCCCAGTGTACGTGCAGAAATTACCCGGCACAACTAGAAATCTAGCGCTTCACAACATGCTTCAATGCTTCAAAAACTAAACCTGGCGGCAATAAAATCAAAGTAAAGCACAGAAAACATTCAGTAAGCCCTGTATGGGTAAAGGTATCAGACAGCACATCTGAGAACCACAAAGAGTTCAAAATGCCGCTTTTGATTGGCTGAATCTCCTGACACTTCTTCTAGTACTTTCTGTACTAGCTGTTGTAGCCTAGCCCTGAGAGCCGTGCACGTCATTCACTGCGCTGTAGTTGTAATGTGTTACAGGAATTGGATTGTCGGGCGTTTCATTTAGAAATGCCGGAAAGAGACAGGCAACAAGAAAAACATATACACACCAGATTCAACTCAGTGACCACTAAAGCCACTCTCGAGTCAACAACCTTCATCAACAAAGCTGACAAAAACTCTCCAAATTGTTTAACAAGATCGAGGCAAACACATTGAGAAACGCTTGCTTACACCAAAAAAAAAAAATCTCTAGAAAAAGAATAAAAATGTAGTATCTGTATGGTATATTTACACATGAACAGGAACTTTAGAGAAATTAATTTGGCATGATATTCAACAATGAATACGTTTTTGTTTCTGAACAATGCAATACTTCATGATGGGGGGAGTGCAACAAAAAAAAAAAACCCATTAAAAAAAAAACAACAACAAAATTCCCCGACCCAATACAACTAAGGGTCAAACTTGTAAATTATGTGGCAGGGATGACACGAGGCTATGAAATCCTGTACAGAACACTTTCAATATATGGTCAGGCAGGTACTAGAAACCTGATTACCATAATGCAACAAAATGTCTGACAACGTACAACAAAACATTTTCGATGCAAATCATTACAACCATGAAAAAAAAAGGGATGCACATAGTGGATCAAAGCATAAAAAATATAAAATTTGAAAAATAGCTGTTGGGTGATGGGGTGGGATCAGACTAAAACATTTAATGAATGAGCATGGACAAAAAAAAACCCAGAGGAAACAATTGACAATATTCATGAGGTGCACTTGTGCACACAATGTTCTTTAGCAGTGGGGACCAGCAGACAGTGTTCAGTAGGGGCCGGGGACACGTCCCTGTAGCGGGTTGCGAGGTGGTGGCTTGATGTCATCTACAGCACTGGCGGCTCCACTGGAGGACAAGCTGGGGAGGACAAACACAGAATATCAGTCAGATCGCCCAGATCTTCCCAAAACTTCCTCATCTAGGAGCCCAACACGAGTTAAGAGAGTTTGCCTTTTGCCCCACAATCAGCATCAACAAAGCGGTCGTCTTAGACACGGACACCAAATCTCACCATCGAAGTGAAACTCTTGATTGTAGTGTAGGCATACGAAGTGGAAAGCCAACAAAGATAGGTGTACTTTAACAACAAAGACTCCTGGCCTTGAGCAAAACACATTCCTTTTAGTTTATAAGACAACTTGAGAACTGCAAACTAGCTTTAAAAAAAAATACTGTCGAGAGACTGCAAGACAACAATGCATAAAATTTTAAAAAACGACGAGAAAATAAAATACCATTGTTTTTTTTAGTTTTAGTAAGAGTTTTACGGCACTTGCAACACAATAGGTCATATAAGTGCCGAAGATTAGGTGTTACAATAGAGGCACAAACAAAAAAGATGGGGGGGAGACAAGGATGATAGATGTTGGATAGGAAAGAAGGAGCAAACCACACCAGAGCACCCGCCAACCACCCACACCATGGCATTATCTCCCCCCCCCCCAACTTAGTGCCACTTGGAGAAGCAAAGCAGAAGATGGAAAAACAAGACAGGAGCTTCGTGACTTCTGACAAAGTACATATACATTCAAATCAACAGGCAAGTTGTCCAAAAGTAATTTTGACTCCCATTCAAAAGGCAACAAACAAGTAACATGTTAGAGAATAGTAAGTCAGAACCTCTTCCAATGGACACCAACCCTCTTTTGTTACCAAACTGGTCGACTTGTTTATGAAAATTATATAGACCCACTTCGTTTTTTTAAAGCATTATAAAGGGCAAATTTAACAAACATTTCATAAATTCCAAACAAGTCTATAAAGAAAAAACAAATTAATACAAACAAACAATCAAAATGCACTTTAACTTAAACAACAATGATAAATCACCATGTCAACCTTGTTAAAATATCACCTGTTGTATTTATCCAACCCAATCTACTGTCAATATTTTACCCAAGCACAAGAAACATGGTGGCTCTAAATTCTCAGCAGAAAAAAACTTTTTTTTAATGGTCTGTAATATATTATATACTTTTACCTGTTTGTTGACTAACCCTAGAATCAAAGTAGATTAAAATATGTTAGACGACCAAATTTGGTGATACTATAGAGCATTCAAATACACGTAATAGAACCAGACAACCCCCCCCCCCCCAAACCACTGATCAATGAAAGTAGGCTAGCTCAGACAAAGGTTTAGGTCTACATAATGAATTAAGTTCTCGTCTGTGGGGGGAAAAAAACATTTCTACATGATAGGTCCTATATAGAAATGCAAGCTGTTGCACAAATTACATGATTGATTGTTATAACGAACACATGCACTCAACAAAATTGAAAGTTAGGCCCATCGACCTTGTTACATGTTTCTTTGTACATCACTTGTTGCCATGAGTTTAGTTTGGTAAAAGTTTTAAGGCACTCGAAACTGCATATGGTCATATGAACACGTGGGACATAAGTTGTTTATTTTCACGTTAGTTTGTAGCACAGCTTAGATTTACTTTGCAAATCAAAACGGTTGAAGTACCGGAACTAAAACATTTTGTTTTGCCACAATATAACACAGGCCCATAATTGTTCTGTAACAAGAAACAATGAAAGTAAGGAAACTGGTTGACATCACAATAGAAGCAACTTTTTTCAAGTGATCTCACGAAATGTCAATGGTTACCAGACCAGTAGAGAGTAATAATCATCATCACAACTCAATTCCTTTTTTTTTTAAATGTCGAAGTAAACATACTGATAATCACCAACACCCAGCCTGCAAAGCTAAAAATCTATTAATAAGCAATATTTGTGGATAGTTTAAAAAGTAAAGTTGTTCCCGAATCCAATCCGGATATTAAGGATTGCCCTGTTAGTGAGACAACTTCCTGGGCCTTCGGCATATTGTGATAGGGTGGCCAGTTCCTTTCCACACCGCCTTTACTTCCCTAACTTGAATTCAGGTACCCATTACTGCTGGGTGGGCAGGAGGGGGCGAAAAAATCAGTGTCCGAACCAAGGCTCGAACCCGGACTTTCCGTTTTGGAGACGAGCGCACTAACTTACTTCAGAAAAATAGCCAGACATGACACATTCAGAGTTTATTATTGAAGGCTTTTTGTTTTGGCTTTGCAAGGTATCTTTTATCGGTCTCAAAAGGGTTCAGACAATTTTAAAAGATGGAAAGAACAGCATATTCTCAAACAAAATGGAGGTAGTGTGACTGACTTTATAGTCCTCAACTGGTACCAGCATCATCAAAAAGAAGCCCTTTTGAATTGCTTTTTAGAAAAAAATCTCAGAACATATCACTCAGTGACATCTTTCATCAAGTGTTCACTTTGTGAACTCTCTGGATATTTATCTTACCCAAATGTCTGAACAATCAATTTTCACCATGTAGCATTCATGTTTCAGTTTTGGGAAGTTATCCAGTTGGCAAAAAGTTAAAACTCATCACCATTAGAGAGATTTTTGTTATGGAACCCTCAGCCTCAATGTACTGAGTTGGGATAAAACAAGTATATAAGATGCAAAAGAAAATAGCAGAGGAGGATAGCACTGAGATCTACCAGTAGTTCTCCCAATAAATCACCCTGGCAAAAATTTAAATTACTGTTACTAGCCTACTTAATACACAACTGTGGAGAAAAGGTTCTCCTGTCCTCCCTCAAATTCATAAAATGTGAAGAAAAAAAAAAGGAAAAATTCTGAACAAGGAATTTGAGAAGCTTTAAAATGCAGCACTGCTGACATTATTTCATCAAACACTATGTTTGCCTTACTATTTGATCATTGGGCTCTTCTCCACATACCCACTACAAAGTTAACAAATGTACATAGGAGACTGTTAAAGCATTGCTGTTTTAGTAATGTCTTGTAACATCGTGCTGAAAAAAACCCAGGGCCCATCAATATGTCAAAGGGCCCCACTGACTTTGCATTAAACACAGGTTGGCCTACCGCTGTGCTTCACAATCAACACATTTGTAAATGGCGATTCATAAAAACAATACATAAATAAAGCCTTCCTTGCTTACAAAGCATCCTTCAAGAGCCTCACTTAGTTCTAGGCAAATCAGATAAAACCACAAAGCAACTTAGTTATAGTGAAAGGGAGACACATACAGACTAGACTTCCACCTTACAAAAGTGTCCACCACCAACTTAGACAAATGCTTCCGGGTTTTTTTAAATGAGGAAAGAAAAATTGTAACTTATATAAAGAGCAGTAACAAGTGAAAAAAATAAATAAATAAAAGGAATACGTTAAAAGAGGAGCATACATGAAACCTTAAAAAAGCAAGCCAGGGAAGAGAAACAAGACTCATTAATCAGAACAACCAAATACACATTTTGGGGAACAAGCATGCAACAGCGCACAATGCAAAATAAGGTACACGAAACTGCATAAAAGAAGCAGAAGGGTAAATTATGGCTAGCAATAGTAACACTATCAAGATTCGATGGTAATTTTTTAGTCTTCTGCTTTAGCTCATTGATGTAAACAGTTAACCCCCAACAATCCTCCTTTCCAAACAACAGTGAGTCTCTATTCGAAACAGTCAAGGGGAAAGTTAATTGGATCATGTGTAAATGGACAATACACGGCCCAAAAGAAATCCTTCAGCAGTCTTACCCAGACATGTGTCTAGATTTTAATATTCAAAGAACAAAGTCACAGTAACAAGTGAAAATCCACACGAACCAGGCATTAGCAATGAGAACTTGTGAAGAAAGACTCAATATCATTTAATAAAAACCCAACAGATTTGAGACATAACCAGGTGAGCCAACTACTTACTCACCTCAAGCCGTCCCCATAGCCATCAAGGGCGTCATACCTAATTGCAACAGTAGAGAATAATTAACACACTTAGTCATGCGGAAAGTTCAAGTAGAGGAAACACAACATACTTTCACCATGACACTTCGAATCCAACTTTCAAGTGTTTGAAATTGCAATTTTATCAAATTTATAGTATCATTTAAATCCCTGCACGTACACCTCCAGAAATGTGGTCATTATAGACTTCATTCAAATGGAAACAGAAAATTGAAGTAATACAGTGGTCTGATTACACCCAAAATCCCAACAGCTGAGCCTTAAATCATTTTTTCTGGGCATATACTAAAATGAAAAAAAAAAAAACCCACTTTGATCCTCCATATGAATGGAAAGTGGACCTAATGGAAAGTGGACCTAAAGAAGAGACAATACTTGCTTGTAAACAACAACTACAGACTGTTCACAAAGCTTTACTCAATTGCTGAAAATTAGGTAAAAACAAACTAGAGGAATTTGGAAAATCACTCTTCATGTACAAAACACTCAGTAACTCCCAGCTGGACAGCTACAGAATGTTTTCACCCAACAGAAGGTCAATCTGATCATAGTTAACTCAGCGTCGACATGTTCTATGCCCCTCAGTACACATCTCATCTTTAGTGGCTAACCGCTATCAAAATGAGCCTACATTATTCAGATTGATTAATGGGTTGGTCTGGGCACTGACCCGGATAAGACACTGTTCGCCCCAAATATCACTTTATTTCCCCTAAATCACAAGAACAGGTACTGGTACAACATGAAGAGACTACAGTACAGGTAAAGCTTTTTTTTTTTTAATTTGAGGTTGTCTACTAAAATAAAGAAAAGTAACTGATCAACAGAAAAACATGGATGTCCTAAACAGGTAAGAAATTTACAAATATGTTCGACACATCCATAATGCAAATAAATCCTAATAACAAGAAATGAAATATCACATCAAAAGAAAATCAAGGCAACTAACTGTGCCAGCATAAGTCGGAAGATAAAAACACCGCCATCATGAAAAGTGCCCAGTATCGATAAAAGGATAGACGGATGGATAGCGAGTGCTCCTTTTTTGGAGTCAAAGAAAGAAAAAGGTAGAGAGCAAGCAATGGTGATGAGCCTTAGATTTACATCTTCTACTCTTTAAAAAAAAAAGAACTGCTCTTACTTCAGACCAGAATCATGATGATGTAGCCAACACTGGTCAGAACAAGTGAACCACCCCTACTGTGTAATCACTTCAGGTGACTTCCCAACCCATACCTTCTCATTCAAACAAATACAGACACACATGCACACAAATATTATTCCTACACCATGCAGCCCAATGTAGCCCGAAACTGTCTGTCTTCGATGACACCCTACCAACCCATCATTCAAAGAAGTGCTAGCGTATTTCTCATGACACACTACACCACAGGTAATGAGCCAGCAGTGCGTCCATGCAAGAGAAAGGAAAAGAATTATGCTGATCAGCCTTATAAATCATTTCTTTTTAAGATATATTTTCAAATTTATTCCTACTTCAGATCACTGTCATCATGACGATGTAACCAACACTGGTCAAAGCACACAGCCCACTCCTGTTGAATCACTTCCCGTTCCATAGGGTCTATCCTCACATTCAAATAACCAACCACACACATGCACACAAAGAGTAATTAACACATCACGTGGCACAACACAGTGCTACACTGTCTGTCTTCGATCATAATTTACCACCCAGCACCCACTCTCACATGAGTAGACTGAAGGAAAGCACACTACAGGTAATGTGTGATAAAGCATCTCAATATCAATAGTGTATGTGTATATCGTTGTGAAGGGGCCAGCCTGATGGCTCATGTAATCTCATACTCTCGATGACGATGGGTGTATTGTTATGCTTCATGCCCACAGGGCCATTTGAATTCGAGGCAATTGTGAGGAAAAATTTGATCTAGCTTCTCAATACAAACTGCTCAACAGATCAGGACGGGTGTTTGAGAAAACTGTTGTCAATACAAAAAAAAACAAAGCAGTTCAGTAAGGATATGGCAAATTGTAAAAGCTATCCCCAGGATATCAAGTTTTTCATTTCATGTTATTTGTGCTTGATTGTACATTTCAACATTTACATGCATTTTGATTAATATAAAGAGACGGAAAATGAAAATAAATTAGAAGGGAAAACATGAGGTTTTGTGAAACTTGTATTAAGCAAACAGGAAGAAAAAAACTGGATAGATATATATATATATAAGTCCAAATGATGCAAAGCACAAAGTCATGAATACACTAAATATAAGGATATTACTACATGCTGAAAAAAAAACTACAGTGAGAAAGAAGCATAGCAACCTCATGAATAATATTGATTAGCTCTTTAATTACAACAAACAGAAAACAGTGGAAACAGAAAGACTACAAGTTCCCAATGGTAGACAAACCTACTACTAAGTATACAGTTGAAACTGTCCAAGACAGCCACCAGGTCGTCGCCTCAAAACTATTTTGTCCAAAGTGAACTTAAGTAAAGAGGGCAAAACAGTTCTGAGGCGACAAAGTGTAAAGGAGAAAATCAGTTGTTTTAGACAGGTCACAGGTGGTCATCTTACACGGTGGCATTATGTTTCTAAAAAAGGCTTGGGGGGAAATGGGAAGTGGCCGTTTGAATAGGTGGTCATTGGCGCAGGTTCAACTATGGCTTGGAACACGTATGAAATGCACATGAAGAATGACTAAGAAAGACTGATGAGAAAGGATAATATTACAATTACAAAAGACTATTCACGACTCAAAGATATAGTAGCTTTATTTCTAAGAACACTACCAACTAATTATTGGGTTCCCTTAACTCTTTCACTACCATGCATTACTATTAGATGCACCCGCCGTCATTAATCTAGGAAGTGTCTCACTCGATGCTATTTCAAAGCCCCGGAAAAAGCTTGGAGTCAAACGAGTTACAGTTAAGCTAGTAAGTAAAATAACATGTCTTGAGATACTGACACAGCAGCGCCAATTAACTTCTCATGTCCACAAGTCAGCATTAAAATCTTATAAATCCATAAACTTTCTAAATCTTTCCTTTCCACAAACACTCACATCAAAGACAACAGCCTATAAAAATGTCCCTTATAGCATTGCCTTTCAACATCAGTATCATACATCCTCTTGTCCATTATTGTGAACACTCAACACTCAGCATCCAAAAACAAAAAATAAAGCAAAAGTTTCTAAGACAGCATAGAAAAGGTCAAAATTGTATAGATAATAAAGTGAGTAGCTACTGAGATCACACAAATGCAAGAACCAAGGAGGGCAATTTTTAGACTAAAATCACAACGAAGTAGAAGTCCAAGGTGTTAAGATGCTAGAAGTGTGTGTAGATAAAATACTGCCATGAGCCATAACTTGAGAAAAACCTTTGAGACCATTTTCTTCAAATCACATACCGCCCACAAATATTTTTTGGTTTGCTTGTGTAGTCTTAGGGTTTTCCTTAACCCTTAGAGCGCTGATTTCTTTCCCCTTATATTTTCCCTCTGTGCTGAATTTATTTGGGAAAAACGCCAGATTAGCACATACGCTTTTTTTTTTTGCCAATAACTTTTTTATTTGTCAAAATTTCTAATGAAAGTAAGAATAAAAGTTTTAGATTATTGAAAGTTCTTTATGAATATGTGAAGCAAAAAGTATTTTGTTAAGTTATTGTTGTAGTAGTGGTGTTGGAAATGACTGAATAAAAACTGCCGGTTCATTAGATCTCTAGATCTAGACCTGAGTCTAGATGCTTCGTAGGCCTACGTTATATTCCACAAAGTGTTAGCTCTAGCATCAAAACCCTCGAAATCATCTTCCGATTCAACGAAAATACGCGGAACATCTTCATCTGAATCTGATGGGACACTATATTCATGTTTGTCGTGGGTCGCAATCGCAAATTTTCCAACTTTGCTGTCACTCGACTTCAACTTTAAAACAAAATACTCCTCCCGTCTCGATCGAACCCTGTGACAAGAAAAATGACGGGCGAAATCAATTCTGCGTAGCCTACCAGCCAGCAGTATAAAAATTAGTACTTTGTTCTTTTCGTATATCGCGTTATACTATGCCAATGTCTATCGAGACCGGCGGTCGCGATCAGCACTTTACGGAAGTTCGAGATCTCTAAGGGTTAATAGTCAAATGTCTAGTAAAGCAACTCTTACCTTCTTCTCTCATAGTAGTCGTAGTACGGATCCCTTGGAGGAGACCTCCTGTAGTATTCTGGTGATGGTCTGGCATATGGGTCACGGTACGGGTCTCTGGGTGGGGGCACTGGCGGCAGCCTACGCTCGTAGGGGTCATATCTGTATCGGTCATACGAGGAAGATGGAGGATACATGCGAGACCGCGCATAATAGTCATATGGATCAGGGTAGTATGCTTCTCTTGGTGGGGGTCTGTCGTAGACGCGGAACCTGCCCCCACCTCCACGCATTCCCATACCTCTTCCCCGGCTAGAATCACGTGATCTGAAATATAAATGCCAGGAAGTGATCAGTTTGATAAATATGCAGACAACACTTTAGTACACTATGACATACAGAGAAGAATTACCAGACATCTGTTGAACTCATCTAGACCAGAACACCATCCGGAAAACACTATCGATTTAGCTAATCTTTTGCCCAAAACAATACTACCATGTACACAACTCAACTAAAATTAAGTTGAGAAGGGAACAAATTTCAGCATCCTTTTCAACCCGATCTCTGAAATTAAACCTGTCTCCCACAGGATTATTTTCCCGGCCTTGCACATCACTCAATCAAAATCAGTATGGAGCTGGCGATATAAATAGAACATGAACTGACACAAGGAGGCCATTCCTATGCTAAAGTCTTTCAAATTTTCATTTGCCAGCCCTCACCCGATGTATTGTGCAAGCAAACACTATAAGAAACAGGTCAATAAAATGTCTGAAAGCTTATTTCTTTAACAACACAAGACATTGTAACCACTGACAACTTACGGTCCTCTTGGGCACTCCTTTGACCAGTGGCCTTCACCTCCACAGCGATAACATTCTCCCTTGCCACCCATACCAGCTTTCTGACGCACTTTACTGCGGGAAACCTAAAAAGAAGCAACATTTACAGAATGAACAAGACATGTCTCAAGGGACATGAATTTCAGTGAGAGGGGCGGTGGGGTTAAACTTGTTTCTCCTTGAGCCTATTCTTTTAAATAATTGGCTACAAACTTGACTTTAAGGCATATTTCTTCAGGCTCTAGGAGAAGTACAAACCTAAAAGAATTGTAGCGTATTCATTTTTATATCCAAATACTTCTACTAGACGTCAGAAATCAAACAATTTTGAAACAACTAAAGTTGATACTTTTATCGGAAATGATCATAAGTTTACTCTGCTAACTATTATAGAAGCTACCAAAAATTATCACGAGTTTACTTAACTAGTTAAGAGGAATCTGTATCAAAATGAACGAGCCAAAATGACTATAAATACACTACAGAGCTGAAAAGCGACAATCTTACTTCCACTTTCATATTTGTTCCTCTGTACACATGTCCATCCAGGGCAGCTGCTGCAGCTTTTGCCTCTGATTCTTGTTCATAATGCTGAAAGAAGAATGAAGAATAGAATTAAAAGGGAACTAAAAAGAACAAACAGCATTTTTAACATGATTTGTTCATCAAAAGACACAAGGTAACAAAAACATGCTAACAAAATAAAAATTGAAAAAAAAAAAGGAAAAACATCAACTGTTTCTGTGGAGGGGTGTTTTCTCACTATTCCAGAGCTCTCTTTAGCCACGAAACCTGCCAGTGACATACACGTCACAAAACAGGTTATAACTAAATCAAAACAAATTAACGTATTTTGATAGTATAGCCGTTATCCAATAAAAGAACTCCCAGTAAGAAATGGATTTTTGGCAATAGGCGAAAATTAACGTCAACTTCGTTGTAAAGGATTTTGACCAAGCCACTGACAGTGGATCACCAGCACAGCAGTTCTGACCACAAGCCGCTGGGAGCAGCTAGCCAGGAATAAGTTTTTAAGTCAATACAAGGACATCTAAATCTTGTCCTTAAATATTCATCTCATTAAATAACTATTACTTGGCAATTATCAATTTCAAAATATAAGTAACCAAAAGTGTGATTTTGAACATGCTTTACACCAGTTATCATCTGTCAAAATACTTACAACAAAACCATAATCTTTGAGGATGTCGAACTCCACGACATTGCCATATTTCCGGAACATCTGCTCCAGTTCATCCTTGTTCACCTCATCAGGCAGGTTTCCAACGTACAACTTGGTGCCCACCATCTCGGCTCAACTGAGAACAAGAGGGTTCAAGTCTTTATAGCAAAGTATAGAAGACTCCACTCTTCATATCCCTAGACCCTTCTTATAATGTTGCTTTTCAAAATAATAAATCAGTGTAGAAAAGTGATAAGTTGTCCTCGCTATGTAAAAATCAAGTACACTACACCATAGCAAATGCAAACACTCTTTAAGCACAAGAAACAAACTCAACATCGTTGAAAAAACACATTCAGTAATCTTTCATCTGTCAAAATTCAAAAATGGACAAAAATCCAAGGCAAATACTTCAGCACCATAGACATGTTACTGCTGTCTCAGTTCAATTCATCTTTTTCTCATCGCCTTCTTGTTTACTGCTTTGCTTCGTAAAAAGTCTTTCTTGACAGGTTGATTTTAAGAATGCTAAAGAAAATCAGTGTGTTGAAACTGGAGAACAATGTAAAATGTTTTACAGATATCAAACCCACAAACATTTATCATGCTTAAGCTCATTTGCTTTTTGCATTACTAGTACTAGCACATTAGCTTCCTCAAAAAGCTATCAATTTTCAAAATTAGCTTGAAAAACCTCTCTACAACTAGTTAAGATTATGTCAATGATAAAACAAAAGCAACAACCAGGGTATAACATTAATTTTCCGCATTTTCTCACATTTCCTGCAAAATCAGGCTGTCACATTAAAAGCCTTTCAGAAAAAAACATACATTTGGGGGATGCTGTAACTGCACAGTGTATTCAAGTAATTTAAGCGAATCAGTTCTTGGGTATATATGTACAAGGATTTTTTTTTAACCATCCATACATGAAATTAAGATTTTTAAAAGCTTTCGCAAATCGGTGATTGACAAAGCAAGGCCTGAAATTAAGAGGATTAGGGATTTAGAACTTAGAACCTCACCCCTTCCGACATTTTTCCCATCTTTATTAAAAAAGACCTGCTATCAAGACAACCTTATTTTTTAAACTTAAGAATATAGTGGAGTCCACTAAAACCAAACACAGTTAATCCACAAGCAGCGGCAGGCCAACTGAAAGAAAAAAGAATCCCTCTTTCTTTTTTTTTTACTTTATTATGTGAGCAGTCTTTCTCAACAGAAGAGATTTCAGTTTAAGGGGACTTCACTCTCTATACATTCATGATAAGAACTGTCCACTAATACAAGTCATGAATGTAATCTTTTCCACAAATTTCATACGCTGTACACACCAATGTCATTACAATCAAGTGTCAAAGTCAAAGTCACGGCATTTAGATCAAACCATCATGAAAAAAAGACAGAATTGTTGCGTGGTCTCAGTTTGACAGTCAACAGATTCAAACAATGAAATTTCAGATTTCCAAAACAACTTTTCTTCTACATAAATTACATTAAAAATGGGTTTTCTCTTTTTAAAAAACTTAACAACAACAAAACACCCTTCATCATTTCTAAAAAAAAGACAGAGGTACCTGTCTAGAAAAGTGACTTTTCACTAAAAACAGAGTTGAGTAATAGTAATAAGTCGTTAAAAAATTATGTACTAAAACTGCCAAAAGCAAAGGTTAATTTTTAGCCATTTTGACTAAACATCAGTTTTACTCAAAAGAAGGGACTCTTTTCATCACCACTTCATTACAAGAAGTAATTTTTAATCTTCAGTTCTTGAGAGTGATAATTTTCATCGACCACTTTTAAGCACTCAACCCATTTAATAAAGATTACCTTAGCAATTATTGGTTTTATTGTATTGCAAATTTCTCAATTGAGGGCCAAAAAGCATGAACCATATACCCCTCCAAAAGTGTAGTGTAAGTTTATGTCTCCTTATGCGCGATGCGAAGTTTAGTCAAGCGCCACAGTCGCCAGGTGTGTATCCTTACACGCAACCACATAGTGCCAAAATTTTCAGTCGAGTGCGACAAAAGCACCAAAAACTGTCACCTTATGCGCAACGCGACATTTAGCTGTGCGCGACTGGCAATTCACAGAAGAGAGAGAGTGACAAATTTTAATGTCAGGATGAACCAGGAAGTACAAAGTACGTCAAATAAGAGTTCTATGATCCACTGACATTTTTTATTCCGTACATGGCCAATCCCGTGTAAGTCCTCGTCCTCCTCCTCCTCCTCCTCATCCTCATTTTTCTCCTCCTCCTCTTCCTTTTCCTCCTCCTCCTGTTGTCCGTTAAACAAACAAAACAATAAAATCAGATCAATAAAATTTCCATTGGGTCGAATTGAAGATGGACATCCTACGCACACATACACACACACCACACCACACCACACATGGCGTGTCGACCGGCACTCCTTGGCTAGGTATTTTGACCAATGGTAATGCTCTATACTTGTCACACCCCCAGTCTGTCGCATGCTACGAGACCCTTATGCTTGAGGAGACAGTTTGTTTATAATCTTACTTTATTGATTCTAGAGCGTCAAGGAGCACATGCGACACAACGTCGAATCGCACATAGAAGACAAGCTCTAAGTGAAAGGAAAACATTTTGGTTGTCATTATTGGACTTTAAGACCATGAATCAATTTAAAAAACTAATATACAACAACAAAGGAGTCATTTGACTCAGTATAAGAATGACTTTAGTTAGAAAAGAAGGAGTCCTTATTTGAGCTACCTTTACCTAACACCCTCCGAAAAAAAACCTTATTTGAGCTACCCTTTTATCATGAACGTTAATTGATTTCTCTTGCATAATTGAAAGTCCGGGAAGAATTCCTTTCACTTTCCCAGTTCAGCATCTTTATTGTTCAATTTAGATTCATCTGTGCTCAGCAACAGTATACACCTCCACTTCTACCAGAGTATAAATTAAAGACTTGATATGAATTAATTTCTGTATAGAATATTCTGGCAAAAAAAAAGAAATAAAAAAGATTGGCCTGAGGAGTACTTGAATAAATATAATAACTTTACATAGAATAGGTATAGCATTATGGGTTGTAAGGGTGTAGGGTTAGGATCATAGTAGGCCTACTCGTTGGGGGCTGTGGCCAAAACCAAATTATCATACAATGTACAAGACTTGAGAACGCCTGTGAATTTCAGTAAATAATGTGTGCTGTGTTTGCATAAAAAGAGAAGCACATGAACATAATTGTGGTTATTTAGTGAAGGGAAATAGAAAGAAAGAAAGGAAATATTAGAGGAAAGTGAAAAAACAAAAATAGGACCAACCAGTGGCACCCTCTAACCACCCGCAAATTTCAGTTAAATGGATGATAGATTCTACTAATTCAAATACTAAGTTACTGCATCATTCTCATTCAGTTTTGCTCTGCTTTCTTTTGTTTATGTTTTGGTGCTTAACAGAATACCAGGGTATAAATTATAAACCATTCACTCTGGAAGTACAGTCAAACCTGCCCCGACGGCCACCTGTGTAAGACGGCCACCTGTACAAACCGCCACTTTCCTTTTTCCCCTTTGTGTTTTTTCTATATAATTTAACTGTATAAAACAGGCACCTGTCCAACGCGGCCGCGGTCACCATATTTTAACTCACAACCCCTATCACACTAAGCAATAACACCTGTCTTAGACAGCCGCCTTAGTGACTCCATTACGTTTTGTCATAAATTGTGCATTGGCCCCTGGCGTTGTGGGCGAACCATCAAAATTCACTCACTTGTCGTTGTTGTTAGGTAGTCCCTCCAACCGATCATGTTGCGTAGGCCCCTCCCACTGTTGACCAATAGGTACCAATTTTCAGCTGCTGGTGAGGTTAGCGTGTAATCCCTCATTCCCATAAGCCCCGCCCATACAAATCGTAAGTGAGATGAGTGGTCACTGTTTACCCAGACTGTAACAAAGGACGTCAACATGAACTTGTGACAGAAACGTCGCTCGTTCTCAGAGAGGTGGCGACTCATGTGTTTGTTTTAACATGGCACTCGGTCTTCCTTGTCTGATACATTTCGTTTTATTGTCACCTTTGCACTAAATCAGCAACAAAATAAAAATTACAAACGAAATACAAACCAACAACAACAACAACAGAAACAACAACAACAACAGAAACAACAATAATGAGGCTACTGACTACTTTCAATTGGGACCTCAGATGGGAATAGTTTGTTTTCTTCCTCTTAATCAATCCTGCCTAAGACGGCCACCTGTCTTATACGGCCACTTTTCTCCTTGACAATCACAATGAGTGGCCATCTTACACAGGTTTGACTGTATTTAAATTGATAAATAAGGCCTACTACTACTATTGTGTATACATAATCCTAGTTCTATTTGTGTTTTTCATATGTACTGACTTCCATTCGATTCACTCCACCACATTCGGCATTCAGAAGGACTAGACAGTGTCACTAAGAAGACGCTAAGACAAGGTAAACTACATTAAGATTACATTTTTTTAATAACAGAAAATAGAGTTGCAACCTTCAAGCCTTGTTGAAGGCTCAGAAAGTTACGTCAACGGGTGTAGCCCAAATAAGGCAAGTGCTTATTTGGAATATAATATATAATTACATAGCCCAAAGGTCACTCCAGAGAGAAAAGTGGAACAAACAAAAAAAACTATGCATGTAGCATTTGTCTGTGGCCCTGAATATCATGCAAAAAGGCAAAATGAATCATGTTTTTAGAGGCAGAGATGATATCCAGATTTGACACATTCAAAACTAATTTGCAAACATTGATAGTAGGAGAAACATTTGCGTGCAGTTCAACAAGTCAAATACAACAAATTACAAAAACCTAATTAAACTAACTCACACTATTTGATTAAACAATTTCATTTCAATATTCATCAAGGTTAACAACATGACGAGAACAGGAACATTAACTAAGCTCATAGTGATGGCAGACATTTAAATAAAGAAAAGAAAAAAATTCATTTGCACTCTGGCAGAGCTCCAAATCAAGAAACACTACAAGAATGACGAATACATTAGTGTTACAAGTTATAAAAAACTTAAATTTGTCTTGATAAAAAGCATTGACTTGGGTGACACTGTTACTGTACTGTATGCCGAACTAGTGATAATATATAAAAAATATATTAAAAATTTATTGCTGTCTTGTCTGTCAAGAGTGGTCTATTAATTTGGAACTCTCACCAATATCAACCAAGCAAACTAACTGATCTAGGTTACCTTGAGCAGGGGTTGTAAGTAGGTACGGTTGTCTCCCAGAGGAAACAGTACATCATGTACTGAACTGGCAAGCTTTATGGGCAACCATGGGTCATGAATGCAAGTGCAAGATGACGATGTCATGACTGTTTCGTTTGAAACGTGAGTCCTGCCAAGAACCCGATTGTCATTGACAATACAAATCTCGAGCTTTCACCGATTAGACTTTTTGAGAAAAGACAATAAACCAGAAACCCGATTGCTTAATCTAAATCAAGATCAAGACGGCGAAAAGTTTTCCGTCAATTACCCCGATGGCATTGACATCATCATCATGGCTTCGTTTCACCGAGACAACAACACACCTCTTCAACTTCGCCGTTTAAATTATACCACTACCACTCACGGAGATTTAACCAGTCCAAGTCCAACATTTAGATATTTAGGAGGGTGGTTTTTGAAAAAATAACTCCCGCCAATAGTCAAACCTGCCTTTTATCGAAAACCTGTGTAAGACAGAAACCTGTCATTTACGGAATCTCCCCACCGCCCCTTGATAAATTCCTAAAAATTACCTTACTTTTATTAAATCCTTTCTTCTAAAGCTGAAACGGAAAGAAAGATTCTTTCCCTTCGGAGGGTTTTTACCTACACCTGTCTAAGACGGAATATAATGTCAAAGCTTAATTGTTTTGCCTACTCAGCCCTCATTTGATTTGAAACAAAACTTCAAGTTTGGTTTCATCTGCCCTAACCTTTACTTTACACCATGCTGCCAGGCGAGGAAGGGGAGCAAGGGAGCAATTTTTTAGGGGTAGATGTTACGCCAGCCATGTGAGCCCTTAGCGGTGCACATGGTCAGGGTGGTGCGGGTATGAAATCTCTTTGGTGCCTGTGATAAAGCAGTGCTCCAGCACGGAAACTTTCGGGTAACCAGAGGTGTGAAATAAGTTTGACCAATACCTGCTGCCCTGATCATAAAGCCAGCGGGTAAACAGACTTTCCTAAATCATTGTTACATAGCACGGGAAGAGTGGCATTGGTTGACTGTGTTTATTACTATTACACCGATGAGTGGGGCTACGGGTAAAAGCAAAGAAGATTTAGTTCTCAAACATTTCTGAACTGTTTATATATATATATATATATATATATATATATATATTTTCAAACCAGCAGACCCAAGGAAATACAAGCACTGGTGGCAATGGATGGATAATTAGGACAAATGCAATGCATTAATGGAGAGAGGATAGCACTTGAGAGTGAAAGTTTTGACCACTGCTTGCCGACCGGACAAGCGACCCTTGATCCCATCCACTGGGTTACACTGAGACCCCTCTCCATCTCCCCCTAAATTCCCCTGTATATGATGTAATTTTTTTCTGGCTCCCTCACGTTTCCGTCTTGCATTTACTTACAGGTTCGACTGAAGCCTACTATCATTTTCAAAATCAAAAACATTAAATTCCTCGTTAGAAACTGTCAAGACAAAAAACACACTATCTTTTGACTCTAGCTAGAATTCAGCTTAGCCTACTGTATCCCAACAAAAACACAAATTCTGTTACTGTGCCTTGTATCTAACTTGAGTTAGAGCTTCAGCTTCAGTCAAGTGTGCTATTTGAATCCGTCAGTGTAGTAATTTTAAGAAAACTACACATTGAAAAATGATGCTCTCACACATGGTCAAACATGAAGCTGCATCGAGCACACCTCTGTGATAAGCCCAAAAATATAGATGACATATTTCCGCCATATATTTTTGTTAAATTGTTGTCTTCCGGGGCTTCCCTTGCCACTTGACTAGATCTAACCGTGGTGGGCCCGCTTTGCCGCTTGGCGTGTGACGGGCTACGGCACTAGATCTAAGTTTCATCACCGACTGATTGGGCTGTGTGTGTGCGCGCACACTTGTGCGTGTGTCTGTGCATGTGTGTGTGCATGCTCTTGTAATGTGTGTGTGCCTGTGTGTACAACTTTGAGGAGAAGGTAAATTTATGGAACGATAATTGCCGACATTGTTTTAATAAAATAAAAGATAACATGAATCTTAAAATACAGTGGAACTCGAATTTAACGAGGTCGCCAGGCCTGACCTAAAATCTCGTTGAATCCGAGAGATCGTATAGCAAACACGAGGTTTTCGTGTAGATAATTACAAGCACTGAGCAAGTAATGTATTAAGAGAAGTCACAAGTAGTGCCTGAAGTGCCTGCATATTATGAGCTGTTTAAAAAAAAGACCAATTTGTTCAAATGCAAACGCCTGTGTCATCTCGATTGTTTACCAAAGGGTTGTGTTGCTGTGTTGAGCCTAGCGTACGGCAACTTTTGATTCCATAGACCACAATTCATTACGTAGGTCTACGTCAAGACTAGCTTTTATCATTGTAAATAATGATCAGTTGCCGGGGAAAAAAAAAGAATGTGACGCGTTTGTATCTGCGACGTTCAAAGCCCGTAGGCTATTGCGCCCCCCTCCTTCCCTGACACACACACACAGCAACACGTGTGCAGGCCGCCCATCCGACCCCGACACACGTAGTAGACACGTCCGCGTGCCAACAATGCATGTGTTGGTATGAAAAAAGGCAGCTGATTGGTCGCATGCAATCGGCTAAGTGAATAATGGTTCACGATGCAGGTGCAACTGATGGTTTCCGGGAATCGATAGTTCGTTGCGGGAGAAAAATGAGCAAAGCACGTCTCGGGGGCTGTTCACCCTGGAAGCGACCTCGTTGAATCCAAGCTTGCTGATTTAAGTGCTCGTTGAATTCGGGTTATTTCTATTGATTTTAAAGAAAAAAAACAGGGAATCTATCTCATCTCGTTGAATCCGAGCTCGTTGAATCCGAGTTCCACTGTACTCTAGAAAGAAAAAAAACGGAAGGACTTCCATACCAAGCGACCACCCTGACAAACACTAATAAAGAAGGGACCTAACCCTACCTCTTCCCCTAACACTAACTCTAACCAACCCTATCCTATGGACCCTAAACCCTACCCCTCTATCCTACTATCTCCTAGTGGTCACTCGTTACGGAAGTCCCCAAAAAACAAGCACGGCAAGATCAAGTCAGCACCTAGAATATCTACTGGCGATGGAAACCCTGGAAGACGACAAAAATAGATGGCGGAATACGTCATCTATATTGGGAAAATAACAGAGGTGTGCTGGGTGCTCGCTGCAGCTTCATGTCATTGTCAATGGTAGGGTGTAAGAGGATTTGGCTCATGACACACAAAATTGAAGACAAAGGTTTGTCAAAGGTTTAAAAAAAAAAAAACTTTAAAAAGTAGAGATTTTTTAATAGATCTAGACTCTCTAAGTCATAGTCTCTATGGAAGAGGCCAACACAGCAGTTGACACATTAGATCTAGATCTCTAGATCTAGATATAAAAGGCTCAGGAATAGGAGGATCTGTGTGTTGAGAACTGCGGATAGATCTAGATCTAGGCTAACTGAACTTGAAGTATGCACAGTACAGAGGGTGTCGCATTCAACTAGGTTGCCGGGACCGGCTTTCTCCTCGTTGAATCCGACCTCTCGTTCAACGTGACTAAGGCTAAAGATAAGAAAGGAGAGTGTTTGACCGTCGTTTATATATGCGTTTCAAAATATATTTTTTTTGCGGAACACTTCTCGTATGGAAACATACCCTTTAACATATCTAGAATCTAGATTCTAGGCTTAGATATATAAAGTAAGGAATCCATAAAGTAAAGGCGGGAGCTTGGATTTTCTGATCAGGGGAAGAAAAGAAAATTTTAAAATGAAGGTCTCGATCTAGACCTACCCATCCAGAGTTTATCCAGTTTCTCACAGCCCGCATCATGTTCCTACTCACCCCCTCCCAGCCCAACCGTAGGCTAACCCTCGCCCATCTTCTTGGCTTTGCCCTTATTTTATTAGCCTGAGGCACACTAGATCTAGATCTAGATATCTACAGCAATACAAATGTGTTAGGAATCAAGGATGGGCGTTGTGCTTCGCGTGAGATGGAGGGAAAAAATCGCAGATATAAGGATTGCCTCACTGGATCCGACTTCGTTGAATGCGACACCCACTGTACATCAGAGGGTGTACAGACAGAACCACTGAACTTGAACTGGTGCTCAAATTAAACTTTATAAACTATGATGGGTCTAGATATCTAGATATTCTAGATCTGGACATAGCCCATCATTTTGTTTTTGTAGATCAAGATCTACTTTTTTTTGTTTTTGTTTTGTTTTTTTGTGCATGGCATGCGAGGTGACTCATCCCCACCCACCAACGCCAACCAAATTATCAGTTATTTCCCAGGGAAACTAAGACTAAGAAGCAAAGTAAGGGACGAGGGACTCAATTGACGTGTCATGAAAAATGCAATGATATAGATCTAGATCTAGATCAAGATCTAATTTGAAACATCAAACACCGACTCTGATGTTATCGCTAGAACCGACGACGACAGCATCGCGTAAAGGCCGGTCCGCTGCATAACGTGTCGTAGTAATCGCGGTCACATCAAAGTAGATTCAACGCCATTTTGATTCTTTGTCCCGTCACCGGTGACCACAAAGCTTTGGCTGTACTGGGAAAAGCAAAATAAACCGTCCGCATGGTGTAATACAATTGACAATACCGTGAAGTCTTACCACGTACTCGTAAAGTTACCCGTGAAACTAAAAGAGTTTACGCCAAATTTCTCGTTGATGCTGTCGTCCTGTCGGACCCACGCGTGTTCGCCGGTACTTTCGCTGCGCTTGACGCCTGACGCAAGGCTCGCTGGGCTCGTTCGCTCGCCCGTCCCTCGTTTTCAATGAAAGTTGCTAAAAATTGTTGAACACGCTAGGCCTTGACAGCACAAACTACGAAACGAAAATTACACTTTGGCCAACCGCGAACTCGTGGCCTTCCCACGAGGCTCGGAGAGCTGTTCACGCGTGGTTGTCAAATTAAACCTACAGCCAGAAAAGAAAGATGTATTGTCATGACATCAATCTGATTCTGTGATCGGTTAGATTTTATCAAAAATGTGTTTATTTGTTTATCTATTTGTCATCTTTTCAGGGGTAGGGATGGTTTTTAAAATTGTATATTATTGGACGATCAAATCGTTACGCGTAAAAGAAGAATTAATTGTATAAAATTGGACAATCGTTCGTACGATGGATTGGAGGCCAGATCGAAAAATGTTAAGCGCCGCTTAGTATTTTTTAAAAGTAATTTGTATGTGATGTGTATCATATTTGGAAGAGAGTAAGTGGGACGCAGTAAAAAAAACAAAATAAAACAATCCCTTTGAAATTTTTGTCGCCTCGCGAAATTGAACTTTGGCCAATGTAGGTTAGATCTGCGTAGCAAGTAAAAAATAATTGTGCCCTTCATCAGGACTTCACTTTTTGATTCAACGTATCAAATAAATACGTGTAGTGAGTCGAGAATAACCAGACTTTAGCAAACAAATTTTCAATTGATAGTGAAGTTATGCACATGTATCAGCATCAAGATAGTGTTGTGCTTGTGATGTCAAAGTAGAGTACAATATATAGCTCCTTTCGTCTATGAAGATGGTCAATTTAATTTAAGATGGTCTCAAGGTAGACTTCATGCAGCTTTTTTCATGGCAAAATGTTCCTAGGTTTGAAGCGCAAATTCTGTTGCAGTGCTTGCATGTTCAGTGAAATGGATCGAAGCTCTGAACATGTATAATTCTGCTGTTTTACTTTCGTCGTTGGTGCTCAGCCTGGTTATTTCTGAGGCTGCTCTCTAGCACAGTATAGTTCTTTCCTTTATCATCCTCCTCCATGTTTTCCTGTCCCCAGCTATTTCTTCCTAGATGCTGACATCTACTCCAAACTAAGATAAACTGTTTTTGCAGGTGTCTTTGTACGCATGTATCTCATTTTTTGGCTTCCTCTTGGCCTCTTTCCCAGGGAGAGTTCTCCAAAGAGAGAAGTTGCTTCGAAATCCGGTTATCGTCCATTCTCTTGACATGACCCAACCATCCCATAGACATGCATGTTTGCCGACAATCGCTCTCTCTCTCTCTCTCTCTCTCTCTCTCTCTCTCTCTCTCTCTCTCTCTCT